CGCGCGCCATTATATATATGTGAAAAATAGAACTTGCTGCGTGTTTATAAAAGATCATATCTAAATATCAAACTAACTGCAGACAGTACTCTTTTGGCCTTCTGGGCCTCATCAGTGCAGTGCTGATGCTAGGATGGAGGAGAACCGAGACGGTCACTCCAAACGACCCAACCATTTGGGTATCGTCTAAGCCATGCCAGAGTTTTCAAACTAGAGTAAACTAGCGAGCATGCGCTAGATAATTTTCAAACTATGTAGTTGTAATCTATAAACATCAGCAATATCTAGGTTACTTCTCACATAAACAGCAATTCCGCCTTTTTTCCTCAAAACCACTCCTGACCAGTTCCTGTCCCCTCTGAATATGTTGTAGATAGGTATTTTGACTATTGGTTCAGGTTTATGTGGCTCCAGGTGTGTATGTGATGAGTGGGAAACTACGAAACAGGTCTGTAGGGATGTATATGTAGTTGTTTTTTTTCTGCCTACCACACATTATACCTGCTCTACTATTTGTATCGAGCACTGTTTCACGGACACCAAGTTTAATCTCACTACATACATACATACATACATACATACATACATACATACATGATAGACAGCTTTATTAGGAAGTGAAATCATTGCAGCTTCCAGGCCGGCTGAAATACGACTTACTTTACAATGGGAATAAATTATCTCTTACTCCAAGATAACTACAATAAGAGCCGCAAAGTGTAATCTACAATAAAATACCATAAGAGAAGTATCAAAAGCCAAAATACAAATAATTAAGATAGCTACTAATAATTAAAACTGTTCGCCATGATAAATGTGTTTTTGAACCTAGTTGTCTTACAAATCGGTAGCTTGAAGTATATCTGGCTGCGGGTACGATAGGTGGGCTCGTTGCGTGGAGGCAGCAGATCATGGAGCTTGTGGTTTTCGTCCCTTACAATCTGATCAAACAGAGCATCACAGAAGATCTCCCTCCTCTCGTACAGTGACGCAATGTCAGGAGCTACTAGAGCCTCAGCGTAGGATAAGTCAGGTTGAATCATCCGCAACGCGCGTTTTTGCAACCTTTCCATTTCTTTGGACAGATATTGCGGCAAAGAATGATGGAAAACTGGGCACGCATATTCTAATACAGGGCGTATACATATTGTATAGAAAAGTAGCATATCGTCAGATGGAACTTTAGCGCGCTTTAGTTGTTTTAGGAAGTACAGACGCTTCGCAGCTTTTTTCCATATAGATTCTACATGTGCGTTCCACCTGAGGTTGTTTGAGACTATCACTCCTAACAACCTTGCGGATGAAACAACTTCGATTTGCTTGTCATTGATAGTAATATGATCAAACAGACTACCTGATCTGGAGAATGATATTCTCAGTTCTTTACATTTAGACTCATTGAATTGGAAACCATCAACTTCTGACTGTCTTACAAGTTCATTTACACGTAATTGCATGTAGCTAGACTCATTCTTCAATACTGATTCGACAAGAGTGGTGTCATCAACGTATTTCCAAATAATTGTGTCTGCTACAGAAAGATTATTTATCATGATAAGGAACAGCCAGGGGCCCAATTTCGTCCCCTGTGGCACCCCTGCAGGAACAGCTTCCCACTCCGAGAAGCAATCGCGGCTCAGTTTTATCCTTTGCTTACGGTTCGTTAAAAAGTCCATGATCCAGCACAAAATCGGCCTTGGAATATCGTAGGACATACATACATACATTTTATTGAACACATCCCCATCTGGGGCTTTTCAGTGAACAATTACATAATTTACAAACTTGGTACCATCTGATTTCGATGCCTGGAATAGGTGGACACATTTCATAGTTACCTGTGCATTTTTTGCCATCGCCATTAAACCCAACCTTGCAGCTGCAGTTGAAAGAACCTTCGGTATTGTTGCACTTGGCATTAACGTCGCAGTTGTGGGTATTGTTGTTGCACTCGTCTAGATCTGCAGGAATAATATCTTTCCGTTAATAATGAAATTTAAAAAAAATTATATAAGCTTTTACAGGTATGTTCTGATTGGAAGACCTGCGATACTCAAAGATGAGTATGTGGACAGGGGGACACATTTCATAGTTACCTGTGCATTTTTTGCCATCGCCATTAAATCCGACCTTGCAGCTGCAGTTAAAAGAACCTTCAGTATTGTTGCACTCAGCGTTGACGTCACAGTTGTGTGTATTGGTGGTACACTCGTCTACATCTGTAGGAACAAATTCTTTCCGTTAATAATGAAATTAAAAAAGAAAATTATATAAGCTTTAACAGGTATGTTCCGATTGGACGACCTGTGATATTCAACAGGACTGAAAGCTCACTGAAAGTGCACCAGGTGCAATGATGTTTTGGGGCCACTTATTTTTTTATCGAAGGGGGGGGGGAGAGGTTGGGAGGATCCCATGGTTTTCAGCGGAAACGGCTACAAAGTGTGATCCATATATCATAATTGACGTTTAGTGGCGTAGTATCGCTGAGTATTTTTACGGGTTGTGCCGTATTTTGACAAGCCTGTAAGGCGAGTCAAATTATAAACGACCCTGAAAACTGTCTTGTAATTGGTGTGCGTGTCAAATATCACTGAAAGCGCCCGCGTCAAATGATCTTTATCATTTAATTTACACTGACATGACCAATCCGCAGGTTAACAATTTTAAATCAAATTGATTAACAGGCACATCATCAAGAAAGGACACGCGTCTTCTAAGACAAAAAAAGGGCGCGAGACGTGCGTGACGTGATGCTAGCAATGATTACGGAATGAAAATGTAACTGTGATTAAAAAAAACTGTAAACTTGACATAACTCCACACAAAAATAATGTAATGCAACTAAAACTAAAAGAACACAATTTTTCGTCCACGACGACAACGGTAAATGTAAATTATGTAATTGTTCACTAGAAAGCCCCAGATGGGAATGCGTTCAATAAAATGTCTCTATGTATGTATATATGTATGTACGTATGAAGGTATGTATGTATGTATGTATGTTTGTATGTATGTATGTAGTGAGTTTAAACTTGGTGTCCGTGAAACAGTGCTCGATACAAATAGTAGAGCGGGTATAATGTGTAGTAGGCAGAAAAAAAAATAACTACATATACATCCCTGCAGACCTGTTTCGTAGTTTCCCGCCCATCAGGGGATTTTAAAAGATACATACATGCCTACAGACATACATATGTATGTATATATCTTCTAAAAGAGTTCCAGAATATTCTAGAGATCTGTAATACTGCTATTTTTAGTAACATTACACTACTATTACATCATGGCGAAAATATTCTGGCTAACTGTTCTAGAAAGTTCCATTAAAAGTTCTTAATGAGTCAGTGTGACTAAACGTTCTCAAAAACTTCCTCGATTCTATTTTTAGCAACTATGTAACACCACGCTCTCCATAACAGTAGTAGCACCCTAGACATGAAAAGCGTAGTGGAATGAACACTGCGATGGATGCAAAGCGTGATAAATGACACATTTGCAGCCGACTCATATCTCTACATTACCATACACAGCTTTCTTATGAAAATCGTCGATGTTCTTGATACGCTCGTCAAGTTTAGGCAAATAAAAACAAACTGATTTCGATGCCTGGAATAAGTGGACACATTTCATAGTTACCTGCGCATTTCTTGCCATCGCCATTAAACCCAACCTTGCAGCTGCAGTTGAAAGAGCCTTCGGTATTGTTGCACTTGGCATTAACGTCGCAGTTGTGGGTATTGTTGTTGCACTCGTCTACATCTGCAGGAATAATATCTTTCCGTTAATAATGAAATTTAAAAAAAAATTATATAAGCTTTTACAGGTATGTTCTGATTTGAAGACCTGCGATACTCAACAGGACTAAAAGCTCACTGAAAGTGCACCAAGTGCAATGATTTTTTGGGGCAACTTATTTTTTATCGAAGGGAGGGGGTTGGGAGGATCGCATGGTATTTAAAGGGAGCGGCTACAAAGTGTGATACATACATCATAATGACCTTTTGTTGTGTAGTATCGCTGAGTATTTTTACGAGTTGTGCCGTATTTTGACAAGCACGTAAGGCGAGTCAAATGATAAACGACAGGTAAAACTGTCATTTTTGGTGTGTGTCAAATATCATTGAAA